AAGATATCTTATACATATTACGTATTCAACGTTTGCTAATATAGATGATTGTTTTCGATAAAATAGTTCATGCGGTTAAATTTATTTACTGCAATCTGGTATTAGAAATTACGTACTTAAAATGTGTATGTAGAAACAAGTATAAAAGGCTGGGCGAAATCGAACTTCATATACATACCCCTCGCCCGCTTTCTTTCCAATAAGTAACCGCTAGAGCAACGACAACAAAACGCCAATGCTAGGGGTGGAGGGTGATTTCGCCGTCCTTAACAGGGTTAGATCGCTTTAACACTTTAGGCACACAGATAACTCGGGGCCTTGACCGAAACCGCACCTGTGAGAGCTCAATTCTAATAGCGTTGAACCCGTCCAAGGCGTTTGACACCGTCAGTCACTCCACGCTACTAGAAGACATAGAAGCCTCCTCTCTCCCACAGGGACACAACCGGTGGTCGGCGAATTATCTGAGTGGTCGACACTGGTCAGTAATCTTTAGAGACAAATCGAGCAAACCTAGGAAAATAAAACGGGGTTGTTGTTGTAGCGGCTACAATAACCCCGCCCATATCGGTTGGTATCTCGGTCGTTGTCATAGAGTTCCACTAACGGCAGCCCCAAGAAGCATGTAGCCTCTAAGGGGTCGGTCCACAGGGACAATGCCGTTAGGGTTGTAGGGTTTTCCGGGCATGCGAAGAGATGTTTCGAGTCGTCAGGGGTCTCTCCGCATGCCGGACATTCATTCGGCACATCCGCATTTAACCTACTCAGGCAAGAGTTCAGCCTGCTGCAGTAGCCAGAGCGAAGTTGGGCTATTGTTGTTCTTGTCTCCCGAGGCAGATGGAGCTCCGTCGCGTCAATGTCCGGTGTTTGTGTGCCTAGAACGGCATTGACAGGTCTATAGTCTACATAACTCGAGACTGAGTCCCTGTGAATGCCGTTCAGGGCCTGTCGGTATGCTGACGTGTCCAGAGGCTGCTTAATGAACCTCTGGACTTCGTCCGTCAGTTCAAATAGATGCCTCCTGACGTGTCTAGGCAAGGGCTCCTCTGCAAGCAGCTGTCTGTTTGGGTGACCACGTCTGTGGCTCCCAGAAAGAAACTGCTTGCAGAGCATCGTGTTGTGTTCCCTAATTGGGAGCATTTTCGCCTCGTCATGGAGGTGGTGTTCGGGTGACATCAGGAGGCATCCGGTCGCTGCCTTGAGTGCGGTGTTCTGTACTGTCTGTAGCTTCAGGGGGTCCCACAGGGAGGTGTCCTTTCCCTACTACTGTTTAACTTTTACATTTCACCGAAGTTTCATTTACACCGGAGTTTCGATTGTCTCTTATGCTGACGATTTTTCAATAATGGTGTCTGGGAATGGAATTGATTACTTCTGCTCATGGTGTAATAATAGGAGTGTTCGCTATGCCACTACCAGTAAGAATTAGCCAGTAACAAAATTTAGAGAATAAGGTACCTTACTCTCCCAAAGAGAAACTTACTAAGTTTTGCGCGAACAGGAATTAGCAAACATTAGCACGATTCACTGCCAGATGGCGTCCACGGTTGCATTTCGAGCATAATAAATTTTTTAAGTTATTTGAGGTGGAAACCAAAACAAGACCTATACGTATATTTCTTCTTATTCTGACTTTCCTTATCATACGCTTCAATTTCTTTGCGGAAGTCTCTGTCGGATTTCCTATATCGACAGTGGTGTCGACTGCGTTCCGATTACGAATACAGCTTATTCAGCCGAGTGCCTTTCAAATGTGTGGAATTAATTAAATTAAATGAATAAACGAATATTTACATACTTCTTTCATTAGTAAATAGCAACAAGATTGTTCATTTTTAAATTTAACGAACTTTTTGATTCAAATTAATGTTGACAAAAATGCAACCGTGTGCCACAATCCTGCTTGCAAATTCTTACTGGCGAAAATTTTCCCAGCACGAATTTGCAACTTCCCCTCCAAATGAAATGCCAAAATTGTGCTCTCTCCTTGCTAGTTTTACTGGGTTTGTGGCAAAACGAACACGATTTGGTAACAATTGGTACCAACTTGTACACATTTTTTGCATAGCGAACACTCCTAATACAAGGTGTTGTCAGTAACTTAGGCCCTTATTATGAGCTGCATTCGATTTTCGATCTTCGCTGGCTATCGAAGATCGAAAGTGAAATTCGTATTATGAGCTATGCAAGCGTGT